TCTTTTTTTGAACAATACGGAAATATACGTGCACCCATCGATCCTTTGTCATATTTGAAATCGTCAATATTTAGGCTGAATGTATCTCACAAAATAAATTAACGCAAGAGTTTTGAATCGAACAAACGCTACGCTGGTTTTAAATGTGCCGCACATAACAATATTTGTTATGCATCAACAAAAAGTATTAATTTTTAAAAGTTTTAGCTGCTAAAAAAATTCTATGAACCTTAACAAGGCGGCAGTTGGGAACATTACCGCAGAGGTTCGTGCGCTTCACCACAAACCCAACGAACTCACCTTGATTCCCAGCCACAGTCAATGTCCGTGGCGAGCGACGCGCGATCTGATCCTGCCCCCACCCCTCCCCCCCTTTTTACCAAGCCTCACCGACCAGTGCGGTGAAGTATGGTCAACTCAAACAGCGATTGCTGCACAAAAAAAACAAGTAACCCACAAGCTCCCGGCAGGCGTATGCTACACCGGTCATTAAAAGTTAACCCCGGGTGCGATGACCAAAATGGAAACATTACAACTCCGTCACGGAAACGGGTGAGGCGGCGGTGATGTCGGGCGATGACCGATGGCGACAGTGGTGCAGTTGAGCGCGTTTTGAAGAATTATACATAAATAGTAATAATCATAATTTTCAAGCCCTTTTTGTCACTCAACCGCGAGAATGCAGGCTACCCGTGGTGAAGCACGGTCAATCAACCCCATGACTGAGGTTGACAGAGCATTGGAGAGGCCCTCATACAGCGGTGAATTGACAAGCGTTGTCAAATTATTATTATTTAATTGTGATCATGAACACGGCTAAAGATGTCTACTTGACAGTAAGTGAAATGAAGCCAGTTCTTTGGCTGGCTGGTCATTACCGATGCTGCGAGCAATTCTCGGATGTCACTTGGAACGAATATTGCCTTGGCAGCTGTCGTCCTCATGGCCATAGGTTGCGTTTGCCCTCCTTCCTTCTGCCAGGAAGTGTGGCGCTTAGTAGTGCTAATTACTCCTTGGTGGCCAGGTAATTGGACGTGATTTGCATATGCATGATGTTTCCACTGGCATCCATTCATCATGACCCTCGGAAGGATAAGGAGCACACGTCATGTGACAGGGCAGCAAGTGTGCAGCTGTGCGAGTGTAGCTTCAGGGCATGTTAATCTTCTGTTTGTATATAAAAAAGTTTCTTATATATATGTGATGGTCACCGAGTGAGTGAGTGATAGTAATTGTGATATTATAGAAAGGTGAAACAATGGAAATTTGGCACGAATACGTATTGTATACCCAGGTGCTGTATGTGTTGCCTGGATGTTGAGTAGCATTACTGCAATGGGCAAGGTCAACCTAAAGTTATACATTGCTTGAAGTCTCGTGCTAAACCCTGACAAATACATGATTTCCATAATGAGTTAACCAAGCCTTCTCTCATTTACTAATATAAATATCTAGAACGCCAAGTTTATGTCTGGCAGACGTAGTTACAAATAATAGCAGTCGTTTAGTTCAATAGTCCAATATATCATACTACTGTTAAAATAATTAATGACTCGAGTTCAGGTTGGCTGGTGTTTGGTCATTCCTCCAACCTGGCAGTGACTCTATTGTTAGAGGCTGTGGGCTATGGCCATCGAAACTAGCTGGGTAACTGGCTAAATCGGATTTTCTGTGCAACAAATAAACGATGAATTCATTTGAAACAGCGGAAGAAGTTCAGAAGACGTACTAATCATAGACAGCGACACCGAAAGGGTGGAAGTAACGAATACAGAAGTGTGACACGGTTAATTTAATATTGCTATTTTGTTTTAAATGTGTGGTCCTATTAATGTATTTAATTCACCGGAATATTCCTTGAATCCTAGATAATATAAAAACCCATAGATATACATAGATATGCATATAGACCCATAGAGACACATTAAAGACGAGCCACACAGCAGGGAGCGACTGTGGCCATGCCACCCGCACCGTGGACCGCGCAGTGAACCCATAGTGACACGTGGAGACACATAGAGACACAGAGACACAGAGATCCATAGAGATACATAGAGACACATAGAGACACATAGAGACACATAGAAACACAGAGATTCATAGAGACACATAGAGACACATAGAGACACATAGAGACAGAGACACAGAGATCCATAGAGATACATAGAGACACATAGAGACACATAGAGACACATAGAAACACAGAGATTCATAGAGACACATAGAGACACATAGAGACACATAGAAACACAGATATTCATAGAGACACATAGAGACACATAGAGACACATAGAGACACAGAGACACAGAGATCCATAGAGACACATAGAGACACATAGAGACACATAGAGACACATAGAAACACAGAGATTCATAGAGACACATAGAGACACATAGAGACACATAGAAACACAGATATTCATAGAGACACATAGAGACACATAGAGACACAAAGATCCATAGAGATACATAGAGACACATAGAGACACATAGAGACACATAGAAACACAGAGATTCATAGAGACACATAGAGACACATAGAAACACAGATATTCATAGAGACACATAGAGACACATAGAGACACATAGAGACACAGAGATCCATAGAGAGACATAGAGACACATAGAGACACATAGAAACACAGAGATTCATAGAGATACACAGAGACCCGTAGAGACACATAGAGATACACAGAGACCCATTAAAGACGAGCCACACAGCAGTCTGACTGTGGCCATGCCACCCGCACCACGAACCGCGCAGTGACCCCACTGCGGCCTGCACGCCTTCAACGCAGCAGCAGCAGCAGGAGGAGGAAGGGCGACACGACACGAACTCTCTCTCTCTGCTGAAGCCCTCTCGTCGTGTTATTTTGGCATTTTATAACGTAAAAAAGCGGACTACTTCAAGTGCTATGGGTACAAGAGGATTGTGAGAAGAGTATGAAAATAACAGCTATCTTTTATATTTCGTCGCAGAGCAACTGGATCTATACTAGTTGAAATAACTATAATGCACAGTTTATACTGTATTCTCTGTGTTGTTACATGCCTATTATGATGTATTCTATAATGGAAAGTTAAGCCAATTGTCCGTCCAATGGATGTGGGTGAAGCCCTCCCCATTCTAAGTTGATCATTGGAGGTTGTTTGGCCGTACTTCAACATGCAGTGCTGACGCACGGCCAAACAACAGTGCACTGCTCGTTGGTGAAGATGGGATGGGGCCCAGGATCGGAGCACGTATCAAAGGCCACTGATCTTGGTTCTTTCGGTAAAGTCACGTAGAAGGGAAATAATAAAATAATAAAAATGAAACATAATAAAATCATTCTCACGACGTTTCGGCCACAACGCAAGCAGCCGTCCTCAGGTGAAGAACGGGTCTGTCGGAAAGACAGCGTCTGAATGAAACACCACCAGGCTTGGAGCGTATATTTAAGCTGGGTTGGAGGGGGATAAGCGCCTTGACAAAATCATTTGCATATCAAGAAGAATTTAGCATATCTATGAGAAATGCAGATATGGGATTAGTACTACTTGTGGAATGCGTAGGAGGTGGGCGGGGGGTTTCAAAGTCATATTATGCCCGTGCATTATGCAGGATTAGCAGCATCAAAGGGAGGGAGTAAGCTTAGCATTAATAAAGGGAAGGAATGTTAATAGTATGGAGCTGCAGCAACTAATATGCTTATAGACTATACATTGTAATATTTAACTATGTATTATTCTACCCACCCTACTGTATACCACACTGCTGTATATTCACTATACAATTACGTTCATCAGGTTCATAACACAGTGCACTAACCACTGCCACACTTTCTACGTAGGTCCGTGGAATTTCCACCACTAGCTTTTGAGCGTGGGTAAAGATGCAAACTGTTCATAACTCGTGTGAGCACTGGGACACTTTAGCTCGATTACCTGTTGTAATGGGTATTTCGTTCAATGTTTCATTATTGGTTTAAATATTATAATAATAATAGGGTGTTGCACTTATTTGAACGATAAAGTAATGCTGAAAAGTGAAAAATTAAACAGTTCACTAAAACGCTTTATTCATATCAATTAGTGCAGAAGCATTAATGCATATATATGCATTTCAGCTATAGTTTAACACGTAGGCTTTCGCGAACAAAAAAACCCCTCTATTATGGATTTCAGCTACAGTCTGGTATATCGTTTTAATATGAAAATTCCCTAATGCACACCCCAAGCTCGAGGATCTGGTATTCCATTACACAGCAATGAACAGTAATGATCCCCATTAACAAAGCGATGTACCATGCCAGTGGGTGGTTGGCTTCTGTTGCCCAAAGTGCATCGCAAATACATTTTTTCGTATCACCTAAGTTCGACAAGTAAATGGGTTGGTCGGGACCTGACAGAATGCTTTCATCTCTCGAAGCATGCACAGTATAACAGTTGTTAACGAAAAGTTGTAATTGACAGGCCAAGTTCCTGGAAACACAGATAACACGATGTAACACAATTGTTGTTCCTGGGTAGTAAGTGTTATTTCGTAATTGCTTATGCCTAAAAAGTATAGACAATGGCTATTATTCTCCACAAACTTTGCTTTTGTGACCAGGACAGTGATATTTTGAAATGTACCTATTTTCAATGAGAAATTGGCGAATTTGTGTCTTTTCGGTTCACATAGAGTCAGAAAAAACAACATATGAATCAAAATGAACATGTATTTATACTAAAGTAATACAAAAATTACTACAAAAGATTTAGAAGTGAGTAGTTTTTCGAGATTTACGATTCAACTGTAAATCACTTTCACGAATCAGCCCCCAAATGTAGTCTCCCATCATGTTCTCGTTATGCTGTCCTTGGTAGTGGCGTTCGAAGTCCAGTATATCCTGGTGGAAGCGCTCACCTTGCTCCTCCGAGTACGCTCCCATGTTCTCCTTGAATTTATCAAGATGAGCATCAAGGATATTAACTTTGAGGGACATCCTACAGCCTATTGTGCCGTAGTTCTTCACCAGTCTCAACCAGCTCCACGTAGTTTTCGACATTGTGATTGCGTAGGAAGCCAGAAACCACTGCGACAAAGCTGTTCCAAGCCACTTTCTCCTTACTAGTGAGCTTCTTGGGGAATCCATTGCACTCCAGGATCTTCTTTATCTGTGGTCCGACGAAGACACCGGCTTTGACCTTTGCCTCACACAGCTTAGGGAAGAAGTCTTGAAGGTACTTGAAGGCTGCCGACTCCTTATCTGCAGCTCTGACAAATTGTTTCATAAGGCCCAATTTTACGTGCAGTGGTGGCATCAGCACCTTCCGGGGGTCCACCAGTGGCTCCCACTTGACGTTATTCCTCCCCACACAGAACTCGGTCCACTGTGGCCAGTCCCGCCTGTGGTAGCGCGCCTTGGTGTTCCTGCTGTCCCAAAGGCAAAGAGAGCAGGGAAACTTGGTAAAACCGCCTTGGAGACCCATCAGGAATGCCACCATTTTGAAGTCTCCGATGACCTCCCAGCCATCATACTTCAAGGCGTCCAGCAAGGTCTTGATGCTGTTGTAATCTTCTTTGAGGTGCACCGAGTGAGCCAGGGGAAGAGACGGGTACTTGTTACCATTATGGAGCAGCACGGCTTTCAGGCTCCTAGATGAGCTGTCAATGAAGAGACGCCACTCATTCTGGTTACAGGCGATTCCGATTGCCTCAAACAGACTGGTCACATTGTGGCAGAAGCAGAGCCCATCTTGACGGGTGAAGATGCTGTAAAAAGGTTGGTGACGCTTCCTCTGATCTGTGACTTGCACACTTTCAACCAACACGTTCCACTGCTTGAGCCTAGACGTCAAAAGCTCGGCATTGGACTTAGTGAGACCAAGATATCTGATCAAGTCATTGAGGTATTTTTGGTTGGGGTAATATGGGCTTCTCTTCTCAGCTCCACCTTTGAAATTGTCATCTGGATCTACAACGTCTTCCTCGCTCTTTGACTTTCTGCTCTCTTCTAAAGAAGGCTGCTCTCTCTCTGGAGGAGTTGGTACGGGGAGCTCATGGCAGTGTGGCACCGGGGCGATGGATGAAAGAAGGACCGAATACATGATAGCAGGGACATTCTTGCCAGTCCGACGTTTGGAAGGGTCCACCATGCAGAAGTAGCAGTTGCTTGAGTGGTCAGTGGGTTCCCACCAAATTCTTGGGATAGCAAACTTCATGGCTCTTTTTTTCCCTCTGTACCATCCTACAAAAATACATTTATTTCACCCATGACTAATGTGTAAGAGATTCTCGCAACATTTTTCATATATGATATATTTTTTCAATAACATTGAAAATTGTAAAACATTTTAAAATGTAAAACTTTTACAATTTTTCTTACAAATTGTATAACATAAAATTCCGAGTAGCTTGTCCATCTTACCTTACAGAGGTTTTTTTGCATTGCTCGCAGGTGAGATGAGGTGCCCAGGGTTTGTCTTGATCTCCGACAGGCATGCCGAAATATGCCTTGCAGGCCTCACACATCGTAGCAGATGCTTCCACAGAATACTTATTCGCTCTTGTCTTGATAAATTGGCCACAGACATAGCAATATGCGTCAGCCGGATGCTTGCAGCCTTTTGATGCCATCTCAGAAAAATGCAGACATGTATCCACTTAGGCAGCTGGAACGAAACTGAACTAGTGGGCTTAAGGCCCCTGTATTTATACTACTATTTATATTACTGAAAAGTTCTCGAATGTTCTAGAAGTTACTCCAAGTTTACTCAGCACTGAATCTATCTGGAATGTTCTGGAAAATAGGTACATTTCAATGTCATTGTCCTGGTCACAAAAGCAAAGTTTGTGGAAAATAATACCGATTTTTTGTACTTTTGAGGCATAAGCAATTAGGAAATAACACTTACTCCCCAGGAAAAAAAATTGTTACACTATAATCATTCTATTGCTACATGCATATTCATATTTGTGTTATACATGAACTGATGGAGTGGATTGTAAACCAAAGATCTAATGGCTGCATCGCTGACGGGACTGTGTCACTCAGCTGGCCTGGGAACACCTGGGAATTCTCCAGGAAGAGCTATAGTCTGTGTAAAGTATAGTGTATTGTATAGTAGTGTGTAGTGTTGTAGTGTATAGTTATATTGCTGGAGTCCGTCGCCAGAGAAAGGGAGGTCTGGACCACGCTACTCAACATGCTGCCGCCGCGACCCTCACCAGGACAAGCAGGTTGAGAAACGAACAAAAACGAACGAAACGAAAATTTGAATTACTACACTTTAGCGATGGTATACATATAAAACAAATATAAATGGGTGAATTTCAGTTTGATTCCCCACTATGGCTCACATCAGTGGCGAGCGATATCGCTGTTGCTCAAGCTCCCCTCTTCAACGAACTGCACTGACCAGTTTGGTGAAGTCTCGTCAAACATCATCCCCATGACCTTCATCTAGAAGTGGACCGAGAAACTGCCCCCAATTATTTATTTAACATTATTATGTCATTGTCATTTTTTATGACATAGTAATTTCCACTAGCAGTGAACATTTTTCTAATTTGGCATTTTGCCTATGATGCCAACATGTTGTGAGTTTCCTTGTGTAAATGATGATCACTGGGTTTTTATTGTCCACTTTATAGAAACTTGTCTTGCTTATGGCTTAATATAGCATGCATTGCCAGGTGGTTGTGGGAATAAGATTGTTGACCCTGTAACAAACTCGCCCAGAAGCAAGCGTGCTGAACGCAGGGCTATCAAGACAACACAGATGTGCGTTGATTTGTATTTACATCGCACACTCTGGTAATGATTTTGTAAGCCTTAACGCATACATGCAGCAATCCACATATACACTAAATTCTAATTACATCATACAAATTATAACATTACGTTATGCAATCGGAAAATATGATGGAGCTGGTTATATTTTCACGTGTATCATATTTGTTATATTTATAGATAGCGTACTATGCAGTGAATTAAATGTTAATCCACAGAGGCAGATTTGTAAAAAGAGGTTTGTTGTACCAAACAACTTTACGTATCTGGCTTGCTCAATTCAATTTAATCAATCTACGGTACTCTTGAGCTCACTTAGATTCTAAGCGTATAACTTTCCAGGAATCTCTTATGGGAATTTATACACAAATCACAATGTTTGTTGTAATTTCATTTATCAAACGCATTGCTCATTCCTAGTTTAGGCCTCTTAACAAAAACGCCGACTTGTGCACATTTTGGTTTCCCAGCATCATGTTAATTGCCCCGTGGCTTTACTAACAATTGCTCAGCAAGGTTCAGGAAATGCGAATTAAAATAATGGATGCCGTGCGTACTGTCAGTACTTTAATTGCCAGGAAAGATGCAAATAACGCGTGTGGGATGTTTCTTTGGAGGAAAGGCTTTTTTTATAAAAATAAAAGCCTGTAAGATTAATTTCAATTTTGGAAATTAAAAAGCCATCAGAGGCTTTCGTGCGCAAGTCTTTCGCGTCCTTCTAATTGCGTTTTGTCACTGATAATAGCGCACAAGGGACGGCGGGCAACAAAGGCAACTCTCGCCTCGGTGCGAGGATTGTCAGAGGACATTAAAAGGATTTCTTCCGCCATCTGTTGAGTGGCAAATGCCCTGCTTAAGCTGTCAGCAATGAGTTATGGAGGGGATGGAAACTTTCAAGGCTGCTGCAAAGGAGCCGTGGGACCCCCCCCCCCCACGCGTCTTGGAAGAAAGTGTGCGGTAATATTAACACAGGTTCTGACTGATAAGCAACGCGGCGAGCCACGCAACTGCGTTGGATTACGATGCTGTTTCCACCCGGGAGTTTTGCGCCAAAAAAAAAAAATCGTGGCATTTCGCAAAATGTTTGCCTCTCATACGAGTTCATTATTACATTTTAATTGGAAGTTATGAAACTGCTTTCTATTTTTGGTTCGTTTTGTGCAGGAAAAATAATTCGCATGCAATTATTGACTTTCCACAGGTCTATATTTCTCCGAATGTGTATTACATTGCACAATATTAAAGTGGTATTGCATTATTATTGATGGAGCTGAACATGAGTTTGAAAGGTTGCACATGCCAAGAATGGATTTCACAAATGGTGTTTTCCCAGGTAGCATCTCGCATTCGCCTGCTTTTAAGCTGCAGCCTGATGTAAAGACAAGGCTGATGCTACGGCTATTCCCCGTAATCTCAAGGAGTGTTTTCTTGCAACGTTACACGACAGCAAATAGCAAAGGACCATTGTGCACATTCTGCAGCCACTGCTTGGCACTCCGTGGGCGTTATGTATGCATGCTGAACTTCTTTCGGACCGTGTGTAGCCAAACCATGCTATTTGGAGGTTATCATGGGTGGTGCCAGAATTTTACAAATCGTGAGGGGGGGGGGCATTCTACTTCACCGCAAAGCATGGGGGGGGTGGGGGGGCAAGGCTGAAGGGTGACGTCGCCACAGAATGTAAGTGGGGGGAAATGAGCCATTCCGTATGACAGAGGAGCTAAATATGCCGAGGAAAAATTACACGTGGCAGCTTACTGTATAAAACATGTGAAGGACGTGGCTTTTGAATGTCTGGCTCAAAGAGCCGTGCATTTATTTAACCCATCCTGAAATAAGTAGAAATACTGTTGGCTAAATTCGTTCTCAGTGTGCGATGAATGCAGTAGGAAAGTTCGTGTTCGTGTGCAATTTACCGCATTGCACGTTTTGCTAATCGCCAGTGCACAGCGTTTTTAGTGGGGGCTCAAGTGACTTGTTCAACATTTTCGTCTGCTGAGTCGGAGAGGGTGAAGCGTCATTGCCTCACCCCCCCCGCCCTCCCCATGGCACCAGCTGTAGGTGTCAAGATCATGAATGACATGGAATGGAGTGTCACTGACCCACAGTAAAAATGAAACTAAATTAAAGAACACAACGAGGCCAGAAATGTTCTCATTTGTCAAATGTTAACATTCCAATTATATTTTCTTGAGGGTTTTCATAGGCTGATATAATATTGAATGGCAGCTCATTTATGTATTTTTAAAATTGTACCAGGCAAAATGTGCCCGCCACCCCTCCGTATAGAGTATAGACTCTCCCCTGATAAGGCTGATAAGGGTCACTGTCAACCCAAAGCACCCAACCCTCGCATGTACCCTCCATGCACGCATTCTTCTGTGAGTGCCGGACATGCGAAAATGGCAAATAAAAAAAATAGATTATAAATATTTAAAAAAATAATTGTACCGGGCAGTGTGTTATAGACTAACAGATACATGCAGTTTTTTTTTCACGTATGTATTTATTTAGTTATTTTATTATTTAGAAACATTAGTTGTGGAATAGTTAATAAATATGGAACATTAATTTGACACTTCATGTTTTCCCTATAACTGCAAGCCAGGGTATGTTTGCTTTACATAAATGCATCCCAGCCCTGATGATTTTAAAATCTTAACACAAACTGCTTTTATTTCTGTATTTTACAAATATATGGACGCAATAAATCTTTTAAGGCTAAACAAATATTACCATTGTCAGCTACATTTTGCAAATCAGTACAATTTTAAAAATAGGATAGTTTTTTTTTCATTTTGATTTCATGGCATAAAGTAATGAATTGTTTGTAATTTAATATGTACCACAAAAGATAAAGTAGAATTTGTTTTATCGGGGCCGGGGGCAGGAAGGAAATCAAAGAACATTTAGCACATAGACACCATCGGTAGGTGGCCTGAACTCATTGATCATCCACAAAAAGGCTATACTTCAAGCCCTAGGACATGAGAAAATTCTGTTCCCGTTAGATGTTAATGATACAACACCCAACTTATTTTTTGCTAGTTTTATGCGTTGACCTTACAGACACATTACACACGCAACTCGTTCTTGCTAATGATGCACTTATGGTCACTCAAGCATTCTCTTAAAGCCTGACTGATTTTCCAGCTGCTGCAGACAAGGGTGACAAAAGTTGCTCAGACGAGTCGGTGCATCTGCTGAAGCATCTTTACACCCAGAACCCAAAGACGAACTGCAACACAGGTCGGTACATCGCTGCGGCATCGAAGTTAAACATACTTCCTCTGATTTAAAGCTTTCGTGACTACAGGGATTCATCTTCTTGGTTCTTTCGGTAAAGTCACGTAGAAGGGAAGTAATAAAATAATAAAAATAAAACATAATAAAATAATTCTCACGACGTTTCGGCTACAACGCAAGCAGCTGCTTATTATGTTCTATTTTTATTATTGTATTACTTCCCTTCTACGTGACTTTACCGAAAGAACCAAGAAGATACTTCCTCTGCACACAAGCGTGTAGAATGAAACGGGGCATATCTATCCAACCAAGGTGAGGCCTGGTCTGCTTAAATGATGTATTTAGTCTATGTACACATTTTCAATGTAGTTGCATCTCTATTTGCACGGCGATACACTTAATCCCAGGCATCTCTGTATTTGACGTTCACTGATATTTCCCAGAATTTGAACTCTTAGTTTGTATGTGGTCGATGGTAGAGAAATAGCTTCTCGAAGTCAGCTTGGTGTTCAATCTAAGTAAATTTAGTAACAATTTAAACTGTCTACGTGTGATAAGATGTTAAAAAGTCAGTAATTTTGTCACACTTTTGGAGAGAAGAGTGATCCAGGCACAATTCCACAATTGAGGTAATTCATTTCGATGTGAACATTTAGTCAATAGGTCTGCCAAACTGGTCCCACTTCTTTGATGATGTCCACAATCAACATATATGTTCCAAAAGCGTCCCCTCTTTAATATTGTGAATGCCATTCTTTACTTATTCAGTGATGACATCTGGAACGTTCCTCTTCCAGGTTCAACAAACGGGTTGAACCTGGAATTCATGATTTTTTTCGAGAAAGAGCTGTAAAAAAGACTTGTCCACGAATGTCAATCAATATTCTGTCCCCGTCACGAGCTGGGGTTCCGTTGTTCTCCTTAAGGGCTCCCATTTGCGAATTTACAATTGTCAACCTCTTTTTATTTCTGCTGCCTTCATGCTCTACTTGCCAGTCATGACCAGAGGTCGTAAACGGGTTTTGATTCTTTACCCGTACCCGGCCGCACCAGGGTCGCAAACGGGTATCCATCCGTACCCATACCCGACCGTACCCATACCCTACCCGTACCCGGCCGGGTACGGGTAGGGTACGGGTATCAGGTACCTGATTGCGACCTCTGGGATGAAGCCATGTTGCAGGCGTGGGTGGGTTGATTCTAGGAACGTGAATTGTGAGAAGAGACAAGACGTTGGGAAATGAGTGACAAACAGTTACTCACCAGTGACTCACGGCCTACCCGTACCCATACGGGTACCCGTTTGCAACTCTGGTGCGGCCGGGTACGGGTAGCCGGGTATCGGGTAGGGTACGGGTATCGGGTACCCGGTTGCGACCTCTGGTCATGACGTCCTCATTTATTTAATTGTTGTGCTCTCTGATTTCGTTTTTCATTCTTCTATAATTGAACGAAGTTCTGTGTATGTAATATTCTCTTTATCATCTTTGTCATATTGATCCTCTCAACTCGGAGATCTCTCTGGGCCTCAACGAACACAACACAGGAAGTGATCACGGTGCTTTAGAAATGCAAGTGGCACTTCAGCGTCGGCAAAAGAGAAGGCCAAACCAATTACGAGCAGAAACAATATTGTTAACTAGAAACAAATCGAGGTCATGGGGTAGCAGCATTTCAACTAACTCGGAGCAATAACATACACGTCTCGAGAAGTTAATTAAATGTACATCACTGCTTTAAATAATGTAAGAACATCGAAAGTAGGGGAAAGGCACAAAAGCGAATAGAAAATCCACAACAATATGCGTGTATGGGCCAATTACTGAAGGTGGACCAGCAACAAAGCAATGACGTACAAGTCACGTGGGAGCAGGATGGAGTGCCTTTTGAAATTTTTAAAGTGAAACGCAACACACCATATAATTACAGACAATCCACATTTCACGTTACCTGTGGATTCGACCCATGTTGTGGATTACAATGAGAGGCGGGGCGAGGAGGGAAATTGCTCAGAGGACAAACACGAGTGAAGAGGCATCTTGTTGACTGCGAAGAAAAGCAAGTGGTTCTAGATTTGAAGTTTTCGTGCTGCAAGGATCCATACTCTTTGGTTTTGTTTCGGTAAAGTCGCGTAGGTAAAAAAATTTATGAATTCAAATGAAAACAAATAAATTAAATCACGACGTTTCGAAAGCAACAAAAGCAACCGTCAGCAACTGTTGACTGCTCCAGCAAAATTACGCCCCTGTAATTTTTACGCCCCAGTATTTTTTGCTGGAGCATTCAACACCTGATGATGGTTGCTTGTGTTGCTTCCGAAACGTCGTGATTTAATTTGTTTTCATTTGTACGTATTTTATTTTTTTACCTACGTGACTTTACCGAAAAAAACAAAGAGTAAAAGCAAGTGGGTCTGGGCAAGACATACATTGCAGGAAGGGTTTGAGACAGCCGATGGGTGAGACTGGGTGGAGAGATGGTAACCCAAGGAGGCGACACTCCAGAAGGGGACAGCCATTGTCAAGGTGGAGCGATGAGCTCGGCTTATACGCAGGGATTACATTAATCGTGGCATTGCAGGACGACGCGGGATTACAATAACATGTGGAGGCCTTCACGCAGCAACGGAGAGAGATCATGGTTGACGCTCGTTTGAACTATTTGTTCCACTTGATGGGCCAGGTTTATTGCGTTTTATTTGACAGCTTTTTTGGGAAGAATGAAAGTAGATTCTGAATCTTCTTGGTTCTTTCGGTAAAGTCACGTAGAATGGAAATAATAAAAGAATAAAAATAAAACATAATAAAATAATTTTCACAACGTTTCGGCCACAACGCAAGCAGCCGTCCTCAGGTGGAGAAGAGGTCTGTCGAGAAGACTCTGTCGAGAAGACTCTGTCTTCTCCACCTGAGGACGGCTGCTTGCGTTGTGGCCGAAACGTCGTGAGAATTATTTTATTATGTTTTATTTTTATTATTTTATTATTTCCATTCTACGTGACTTTACCGAAAGAACCAAGAAGATGAATCCCTGCAGTCACGAAAGCTTTAAATCGAAATTTAGATTCTGAATGTACAACGAAGCTAATGTCAAGATAGTTTGGTTGTTGGTTAGAACTATTGTTTTGATGCTTTTCTCCTAAAGCACGAATGGATTAGCTTTGTCTGTCTGTCGACAACACGGGGGTTACGATAACGCTCGTAACGATGATCCTATATGAATGGAATTTAAGATTAGAGGTTGTGTTGCTATTAGAAACTTACCGTGGTGAAAACTTAGCGAGAATAAGCAAAGTTCTCACCCAAAACTTGCCGACAGTGATAACGGGTAAAGCCTTCTTGTGTCAATGTGATGAGATTGCACGCCAATGCGTTCGTTAACGTTTTTGCACGTGGCGTCATCTTGCAACATCACGTGGCGTGCAATGCCATCTCGTTATCCGTCTCACAAACGAATGTTATTCATCACCGGCGACGACTGTTCGACTGCTGAAAGGGAAGCTTCCCACACCCAAAGCTGCGACCGTAACGTAACAATCCACCCAGCAGATGCCTCCGAGCTGAGTGCATCGCTCCGTGTCCGTGGCTTGTTTGTCCTCTCTGGGGGACATTTGCTTCCCTTGGCTGCCACTGTCGGTACGCAAGTGGCAGCCAAGGCCATTATCATCCTTCTTGAGACATATCCTGCCAAAGCCCACTTACTTTGCTAAGCATTCCGGATGTTATTTATAACTTGAGTATGTTTTCTAATCCACTCGTTTCACTTTCTGTCTCTCAAAATAAGTCGGCGTACACCTCTACGCGCTTGTTTGCACACTCTGAAGTTGTCTTTCTTTCTAGATTTGAAGCTTTCGTGACTGCAAGTATTCATATTCTTAGGTTTTTGGTATAGTCACGTAGGTAAAAAGTTAAAATTAATAAAAGTAAAATAAAATAGAAATCACGACGTTTCGGACGCAAACACAAGCTTCCGTCTTCAGGTGGAACCGTCACAGCACGATAGCTGTATCAAGTAAATGAGAGATTACAAGAGATACTACCTGTATATATACTGGTTGAGGGGGGGGATGGGCCAGGAACGGCACACTTTTTTATTATTATGGTAAGGTGCGGCTTGAGACTACGGCTAGTCTACATAACAAAGGACTGAGCCTTTATTATGATAAGGTGCGGCTTGTCTTTCTTTCACCGTTGTCGTGAACGTTCATGTTTACCGTCCGTATGTCACCAGTGCCGGATTATCCTAGTAGCAAAAGTAGCTACAAATGCTACGGGCCCCGCACTTTAAAGGGCCCCGCGTTAAACGCTTTGAAGCTATCAATTCCGGTTCAGTGATTCTGCACTTGCTCTATTACTATAGTACTATACTACCTTCAACTTTTATTAACGACTGGGTGTTTAAGGTTAGCGATTTTTTTGTATTATCTGGCTCTATAGCAAATGAAAAAATACAATAACTTTACTATGTAAGTGAAACATTTGTGCTTTATTATTTACGTGCTTTTTGTTAATTTAAGGCTCCTTTATAACATATGCTACAGGCCCCCACACTACCTCGCTGTATGTCACAGCGAGGTAGTGTGCGAGGTCAACACTTGCATAGGAAATCGTTACAAAGTCCAGGCGCGCACTTGATTCTTTCCTTTCTTGTTTATGTATCACTTAAGCTGTACAAGTGGTGGGCACGCACATGCAGTCAGTGTTGGTGGATCTCACAAACGCTGTGGAAAGTGCCCTTCTCGCAGGGTGTCGAGGTGCCATGCCTTGGCAGGCGGCAAATATGGACTCCACTTGTTCCATCGGCATGGGATCGAGTGTTACCCCCTCGCACGTGTGTGTGTTTGTTTGTTTCCCGAGGCACTCCAGTTTCCTTGCGCGTGGAAACATTCACCGTTTGGCCGATTAAACCTGCGCTGTCTCTTCCTGCATGCCTGCGGTATTGAGCAGTGAGGCAAGGGGCTCATTGAAAGTGAACTCGT